GTCAACATATTCTGTTACACCAAATACACAAAATAATGATCTTTAAAAAAGCATCATATGACCCCTTTAAAATTAATTCAACTTTATTCCTTGCCATGTTACATATCATCAATTTATTGTGCTATGAATGAAGGTATATGTTAGTTAGCCGTTAACCAAAAACCTACTAAGTGTGAGATCCAAACATTGATTGTACAAGTGTCTCATACTCCCATTCAAGAATCTCGTATGCACGAAATCTTCTTCACACAAATATGAATTCATCAGCATCACTAAGCACGTGATCATTATTTTAAAGCACGTGTGAATCAGTCGACATTTCAGCAGCAGGTGTTGTTTCAGAAAAAGCGCATAATAAATATACTATACATGTCCTGTGGTGTGATGAGCACAAGGTTCAGAGGTCAGAAGTTAATGAGGAGGTCACGTTCCTGTACACTGGTAAGGAAAGACTTCCCAAAAACAAAGGAGTGAAGGCCTGCCTGGAGCTTCTCCGCCATCGCCATGATGATATTCAAGTCACCCTCCACAGTTAAGTCCAAATCAGTTTTCAAGTTGCGTAGAGATCTGAAAGGTTTTTTGCCCTTCTGCCTATAATTAATAATAATTAATAACACAATGAGTCTACCATAAAATAAACAAAATAAATGCAACTTAAAAATATAGCCAGGTATGTTGAAGGAATACTGGAATTCATGTTTATCAAGTTTAACTAAAAAAAGGAGAGCTTTTAAATTAATTTAAATTTAATTTGAATTTAAAAAAGGGGAACTTTTTTTGTTTTTTGCTTAGATTGAAATAAGCAATGCAGAGCAGCTAAAACAGATAAATATTATATTAAATCATTTTCTATTTATCGATAAAATTTCATTGCAATATTAATGACTTGTATTAAATAATGTAAAAAAAAATAAAAACCAGCCTAAAATTTTAAATCATGCTAAAAAAAAATTGTTTACACTAACATTCAAAAATTTGCAGATTTTTTTTTTTTTTCCCAAAATAACTTTCCTGAAAAAAAATGTATCGAAATTTAAATGTACCACAAATATATTAAGCAGCACACAACTGTTTTCAACACTGATAATAATAAGAAACATTTTTTGAGCACCAAATCGGCATATCAGAGTGATTTCTGATGGATCATGTGACACTAAAAACTAGAGTAATAATGCTGAAAATTCAGCTTTGCATCACAGGAATAAATTACATTTTAAAAATATTAAAATAGAAAGCAGTTACTTCAAACTGTAGTAATATTTCACATCACTGCGTTTTCGAGCAAATAAATGCATTCTTGGTGAACAAAATAGACTTCTTTCAATAACGTTTAAAAATCTTACCAACTCCAAACTTCTGAATGTCATTATATATCACCCACCTTAGTTTACAATACATAATAGTACAAAAATTGAGCTTGATGTTACTGAAAATTGTTGTCATTCACTGCATTTGAGTGCATTAATTATCTCCAGTAAGCACATGATACTTAAATTCTAGTTAAAATATTTCCAATAAATGACACTGTGTAGTGTCTGTAGAAGATGTGAGCTCAAAGCTGCTGTACTTACGTCTCATCCTCAATATATCTGAGCAGTGTCAGGGCCTTCCTGTGCAGCAGGAGAAGGAAGTGGGACAAATACACACTCCGCAGAGACAGACCTGGTTTCAACAGAAACACCTAGAGATCGACAAAGAAGCAAACAAATACACGTTATCAAGGCCAAAGCGGAGGATGTTATTATAAAGCTCAGAAGAAAGGGAGTCGCGCAGACTTACCTCATCTATGAAAGACTTCACAAGTGTGTCTTTGTGCATCACGTCTTGAAATATATTCCTAGGAAAAGCCATAAAGTTTAGTTAGTGATTCAGAAGGTAAAGAAACCTCTCATTTCCTCTTGAGAAACTTTAAGAGCTGCTTTTAATTCTCTTAAAGAAGATTCAAAAGTTGACTACTTGACACGTGACGCTGATTACATGGTTTTTGGTATGTGTACACAGCGTATCGAACGAATGATATGGTGAGTGCCCTCAAATGAGATGTAAAATGTCTCTGTTTCACCTCTCAGCAACTCTGTGAACTTTTAATGGAAAAATTCTCGGTCAAACAGTCACTGACAGTCCTTGAAAACAAATCAATGATGCAGCTCTATGCTGGCCACAGCCCTGAACCATGACATTAGCAGAGAGTGGAGAGTATTCACAATTTCAAGGACACACATCCATATACACAAGCATCTCAAAGCTCATTTCTTCATACAGAGAACTCAGATCAAAATACATTTACATAAGCAGTTTACATTAACATTACTTAAAGCAATAGTAACACTGAATAATAATCTTACAGCATTAACTAATGTTAATGTTAAATTCTACATAGCTTTATGAATTAACATGTATACCCAACCATTCAGATGTTTGTTGTCAGCAATATTTTTAAATGCTTTGGAAGGAAGACTCTTATGCTCACAAAGCCTGCATTTATTCAATCAAAAATACAGTAAACAGTACAATTATGAACAATTATTACAATTTAAAATAACTTCTATTTTAATGCATTATTAAATGTAATTTATTCCTGTGATGGCAAAGCTACATTTTCAGCAGTCATTACTCCAGTTTTTAGTGTCACATAATCCTTAAAAATCATATGCTGATTTGCTGCTCAAGAAATATTTCTCATTATTATTAATGTTGAAACTGTTACACACAGCTTTTTTATGATTTTTTTTTCAGGATTCTTTGATGTATAGAAAGTTCAAAAGAAGAGCATTTATTTGTAATGGTATAAATGTATTTGCTGTCATTCTTGATCAATTTTAAAGCATTCTTGCTGAATAAAAGTATTTCTTTCTTTCAAAAAATTCTTACTGACCCCAAACCTTTGAACAGTAGTCTGTATTAGGAAAGAACATAAATTAAAAACAATTAGTAGCATATTTATGAATAAATTAAGATTAATTTATTCCTAATGCATGGACTAATTTGTGAACACTATTGTAAAGCATTACCATATATTTTAACAGGTCCTAAGAGCAAATAATATTTATCAACAAACAAAATTTAAATATTTTTATTCAATGACTACTAAACTATCCTTCGTCCCTGCTATCAAACACTGAGCTAGTTGATACATCTTTTAGCTCTCTGTGATCTCTTTCTTCTCACATTTAATCTCTTTATAAATTTGGTAAGTAGTCATATAATAAGCAGGATAATGTACAGTCAGTAGGTCATTAATCACCAGCAGTCAGCATTAATCCCAAAAAAAAAAAAAAAACCTTCCAGACGAAACAATCCCTTCGCTCTGTACATTATCCCTTAAATATAGATTTTGTGTATTTGAATAAAAGACCATGATATCTTGTTATCCTGTCAATAAGGATCAGTCAATCATGATACAGTTTCCAGACTAAGAAGGTATGTAGAAGTCAAAGGTCATACAAATCTGGTGTGTAGGAGTCCTGGGCATTGATGAGGTTGCCAGAACTGATGTCATCCTCGCTGGCGGCCTTCCAGAGGGCACTGAGCTCAGCTCGCATGTAGCGCCACTGATGATACGTGTGCTCGTGGCAGGGTGGCATCTGCTTGACCGTGTTAATGTCCACGTCAATGTGGGTGGTGGGGTACGAGGAGTAGAGCACCTGCCGGTAGGGCAACACAAAGCTGCCTGTGGAGTCCTGGGAAAGAGAAAAGAGGGACCTTTATAACATTACCACACAGCAAAGCCACCAGGAGTCCTTAAAGGTTATGGACCCATGTAATTTAGTACTGGATATTCTGTGCAAATGGGCAGTAGTTATGAGTTTCCCATGGAGGGACACTGTGGATACCTTAAGGAGGCCTTGAACAAAGAGGCCGGTGTCATATTTAAACAAGCCGTCGGGGTGACACAGCCGAGAGCACTTCCTCTCCGCAGGAGTGAGGAAGAGGCACAGCGTGAGCACGATCTACAAAAGGTCTACAATCATTATTCGACTTTCATACTCAGATATGAATGGTGAGAATGTACATGTGGGAATGTGCACCTTATTGACTTTCTCAGGATTGCTGCCAACCACCATGGAACAGCCACAAGTCTGAAGATGAGAGCTGATAGCCCTATGATAGAGAAGGATGACAAACATGACAACCTAAACAATGAAAACAAGCAACTCAATTCAGATCATTGACTTCTACTAAAGATGCAATACGTCTTACTTGTGTAAAAAGTCTTCGCGACAGCTGTCTCCAATATCATCATCATTGAGCACAGTGTCCTTTAGCTGTAACGAGGAAAAGTATTTCTTTATGTGCTTCAGTGAGAGTGAGAAAAACATTCAAAATGTTTAATATTTCAAAACTGTCAGAAAAAGATCTAATGTAATTGTCACCGAGTGAAGATCTATTCCAGCTAGATACATATTGTACACCCTTAGGAACTAACCACCGTTTTGCTTGTACAATGGTATTTATAAATTAGAATTAATATAATACATCAAATATAATAAATAATACATTTATAAGTATTTACAATGTTCATTAATGAGTCAATGACATGATGCAAATTGTTTTTGTTCTGGATATTAATATATTCAAAAATCCACAATGACTTGATGCATGATTTTATTTTTTCTGAATTAAAATTCATTGTGATTTTTGGGGGGGGCACAAAAATGTTAGCGTGAAACTTTCCTAATTTTTTAATGAAGAAAAAAATAATTAATTCCTTTAAATTCTTGAATAACATTAAGTAGTTTGGCATAATCTTTATTGCTATTTCAGTTCTGCTCACTGCTTAATAGTCATGTTGTTTAACCAACATGCAGAAAAATGGCAAATAATGATATGATCGCGTGATCACCTGCTCTTATTTATTTGTTTAATTTCATTATTCATTTGGCTTATTATTAATTATTGCATTAGTGCTGTTATTTTTTATTACTATTGTAGTAGTACTGTTTTATTTCATTTATTGCATTAGTACTGTTGTAATAGTACTGTTTTATTTTATCTGTATTATTCTGTTTTATGTAGTTCATTTTATTAAGTTAATTTCATTATAAATATGGCAGAAGCAAGTTTGAGTCCAGCTCACATACAAATCTCCTTCTCTTTCCTCATTATTTCCTGTTTACTCTAAATTCCCACTGTACACAAAAAGTGTCCAGAAGCCCCTCAAATGTGTCAAAATACTCACATCCACTTCCTCTGGTACACTGTGTTTCTTCATGGAGGTAAGAAGCTCCATTATGGGAACAATCTCAGATGACAACACAGAGACTATGTTGTAACCCTACATGATAAAAAACACACAGCACATACATTACGAAAACTAACAAACGATAACAAGTAAAAGATGCACAACTCTGAGCAAAGACCTTCTGCATGCAGATGCGTCCCTTGCGGATGATGTGTTTGAGTCTCTCCACACACACACTGTGCAGTGGCAGGTAAAATCTTAGCTCTGACTGCAGCAGGATGATTGACAGCGCGCAAGTGTTCTTATCACCCTTGAGTTCTCCATCAAATATCAGCGAGACTATGATAACTCCCTTTTCTGCCAAGACGAAGAACTTCACATCCACTGCGCCACTCTCCGCACTTCGCAAAATCTCACCGTTCAGCGTGTGATTGGCAAGAAACGTGACCTCTCCATCACTGAGAAGCGACAACCCCTGACCTTTGGGGGCCCAGATGTGCTGTACACGAGGTCCCAGGATGTTGTCCCAGTAAGCGAAGGTTGCAGCCAGCACGGGACACCAGTCCTCTACCAGCACTTCAGTCTTAGCCACACCAGGAGACTGCGGGGACAGGCTGCAGACATGACGGCCACTCACACAGACCTACAGTCACTCTATTGTCAGTCTCACAATGCAGAAGTCAGTGGTGACAAACAGATTGCAACATCCCCCTGCTGTTACACTGCACCCATGCAATCTGTTGAAGAGGAACAGAGAAAATACAGTGGAGTGAACTAGAAAGTGAACACTGGCATGACATGTAAGCCAGGACAACAAAACGTTATAAAATTGCATTGTTGTAAAAAGCACGAGCTTTTCGACTTAAGAATAAATCATTGGTGTCAAAATATAAAAATATGTCTTTACAGAGACTCATGTATCTGTACATGACATACATCGAGCTAATCACTACACCTCGACATTCATGTATAAAACACGTCTGCATTAGCTCGAATAGTCGTGGTAAATCACATTTTTGCTGCCAGTATGTTACACATACAGAATCCTACCTGCTTTGGCTCAAAACAACAACACATTCGTCAACCCTTTTCTTGGTTTCCTGCTGTCATTAGGCTGAAGGCTGCGAAGAAGTGCGTAGCTGAAGCGCAGGGCACAACAGCGCCCTCTGGCGGCTGAAGGAGTAATTTGATTACCCGAGACCGGAGAGACGACGGGGAAATTCAATTACCTCTCGAGTCGTTTTGTCAAACCATCACTTTAGGCTGTGAGCTGTATTGAGGAAGATATCGCTATTATATTATAGTATCGAACTGTGTTGCAGACTATTTGCAATTATATTACATTGATTTTTTGTTTACCATGCCCTGACACTACCTAAATGCATGGGGTTTCATAGCTACTTCAATATGTTATTTAATAGCTCTCGAATGACTCTTTCGATATTTTTTTAAAGATTCAGACAGAATTCGGGACACTAGCATACTATTCTAACTGTTTTGCCATAGTAAATGTAGTAGTATGCTAGTGTGCGGTGCAGAATTCAGCGTCAGTTAAACAGGTTCGCAAAACAGTCTGAATAAATCCGCCATTTAGACTGAATCAATTGTAGAGTTCACCAAAGGACTGAATCGTTTGGAGCACTTTTTACTATTATAACAACACGGAGAGCTAAAAGAACATTAGATGAAGAGGGTTTTCACCTACAATCTACTGAAACAAACCTTGCATTGTATCATCTGCCATCGACCAACGTCTTTATTAAGTTAAACATCTGCGAGAGCAGCTTGTGAATGACTCACTGCAGGTAAAGACATTTTCCAACCGGGACATAAATACAATAATCCTTTACTACTACATGTCATGATACCATCATTGTACAATGATATGCTACTAGAACAGCAGACTAAGCTATACTTTGATGTTGCTAAATGTACTGTATGAACAAATATACCCTTACGAAAATTAACCATAGTAGTAACCATAGTTTTATTATAGTAAAAGTGTAGTAACCATTGTTTTTGTCGTATTGACTACCATTTATATAACCACACACTGAAAAAATGGCAATGGGGGGATTGTTGAATTTGCAAAAATGCCTTTCGTATTTCCTACATGATTCATTTATGTTTCTCATCTAAACATATTTTAGTCTTGTGCCATTCATTTAATGTTAAAGGATGTTCAATCTTTTAGAATTAATCATGTTGAAATGTTAGAAATTAGTTATGTTTTCTCTGGAAACTCCGCCCCCTGGGAACGCGCAAAGGAAAACCAATTAGCTGCTGGACAGTCCGCCATTTTCACTCTAGCTTTGGATGTTGGAAGCTGGACCTTTTCGCAGTGGATCGCTACAGTGTGAAGGTAATTAAAACTTTGAACTGAAATGCCATTGAGAAACAGTTAGTAATCCATTTGAACGTATTTTCCCGGAGGTAACGTTTTTCTGTGCTGATTTTATCGAGCAACCCGACGGAAAGGCAAAGTTAGTGCTAATGTTTAATGTGGTTAGCGATAACAGAACCCCTGTTTAATACCATGACGTTCATTAATTTTTTGCAAATTGTGTACAATCCTTCAGGCATATTTTTCCCGTGTATTACGACTAATTCGTGTCAGGGAGTTACTGGTGACGCCAACTAATGTGGGGAGGGGATATGTTAACTTACTTACAAAACGTTAAAATGCCTTCTGGCTGAGCTGCAAGTTATACCTTTTAAATTTGATCACAAAGAAAATACACGTTATTTTGCAGGCTTTCCCTTTCAAGATACGTCATTCACTCGGTGGTCGTAATTGCAGCAAATGGGAAAATATTGTCGGAGTGAGTGGCGCCGATTTATTTGGGGTGGGGGAGGGTATGTTACAGAACGTTAAAGGGGTCATATGATGCTTTTTTAAAGATCATTATTTGGTGTATTTGGTGTAACAGAATATGTTGACATGCTTTAATGTTAAAAAAACACATTATTTTTCTAATACTGTACATTAGTGTAGGGCCTCTATGCCCCGCCTCTCTCAAACGCTTCGTTTTCTACAAAGTCCCACCTTCCGACAAGCGCAGTCTGCTCTGATTGGCCAGCTGACCCAGTGCATTGTGATTGGCCGAACACCGCAAGCACTCGGAAATGTAACGCCCCTTACCATAATCGCGAAATTCATCTTTCAAAATAAATGTAAAGACAGTAAATAATGTCATTAGTTTTACCATCAGTTCAAGCCCAAAAGGGGAACAGACACAGTAATGATGCAGTACACAAGCCGTGGTTAAGACAGCTGACTCTACTGTGATGTGACGCTGTCTCTCTCACACATACACACGCGCGCGCGCGCACACACACACACACACGATGCGCAAAACTCCGCATTTGAACAG